TTCGCCCTGCGCAGTGTGGCCACCAACTGGGCCCTGTGCAGCCTGGCGGAGAAAGCCCGGCTGCTCCGACTGGACGAGGGGGCCAAGCTGGGCGGAGGCGGGTCTGGATGGTCCATCTGCCCGGAGCACGAGGAGCCCCTCAAACTCTTCTGCAGCCAGGACAAGGGGCCCATCTGCGTGATCTGCCGGGACCTGCCCCAGCACCGCGGCCACGACTTCCTGCCGGTCAAAAACGCCGTCCAGAAATATCAGGTGAGGGCCAGGACGCCTGGGTTCTCTGGGAGGGGAGTGGGGTCTAGTGGTTAGAGCGGGGGAGGGGCTGAGAGCCAGGACGCCTGAGTTCTCTGGGAGGGGAGAGGGGTCTAGTGGTTAGAGTGGGGGGGGGGGGGCTGGGAGCCAGGATGCCTGGGTTCTCTCGGAGGGGAGAGGGGTCTAGTGGTTAGAGTGGGGGGGGTGCTGAGAGCCAGGATGCCTGGGTTCTCTGGGAGGGGAGTGGGGTCTAATGGTTGGAGCAGGAGGGCTGAGAGCCAGGACGCCTGGGTTCTCTGGGGTGGGAGTGGGGTGTAGTGGTTAGAGCGGGGAGGCTGAGAGCCAGCACGCCTGGGTTCTCTGGGAGGGGAGTGGGGTCTAGTGGTTAGAACAGGGGGGCTGGGAGCCAGGGCTCCTAGGTTCTCTGGGAGTGGGATCTACTGGGTTAGAAGATAGAGGCTGGAAGTCAGGACTTCTGGGTTCTATCCCCAGTTCTGGGAGGGGAATTTGGGGTCTAAGTAGGTCAAACTAGGCTGGGGGACACTCCCAGACTCTGTCCCCTGCACTGCTCCTGTCTCATTACATCCCCTGGGTGGCCAGTCTATTGGGGGGGGGACTCCTCGCTGTGTCACTGGAGAATGGGTCTGAAATCAAGATGCAATTCAGTAAAGACACGTGCAATGTACTACACTGAGGAAGGAAAAAAATCAAATGCACGACTGCAAAACCGGGAACGACAGCAGTTCTGGGCGCTGCACTTCCGGAAAGATGTGGACAAACGAGAGAGAGTCCACAGGGGAGCGACAAAAATGATCAAAGGTTGAGAAAACCTGACCTGTGAGGAAGGGGTAAAAACCCCTCGTTGACGGGTGGGTTTCTCTGCTGCACAGGACAAGCTGAAGGCATCTCTCGTACCCCTGAAGGACAATCTGAATTCAGCCACTGAGGACCAGCGCCACCAGCAGGAGAACATAGCAGAGCTGGAGGTATGGCTAAGAGCCCCTTTGTATGGTTGAGATGGGGTCAGGCTTTAACCCACGTTTACGGTGTGGGCTCGCTGTCCCCTCCTAGTGGCTGGACCATGCACATAGGCCTAGGAGAGCGACGCCACGTACCCTAGTGGCTCAAGCACTGGCAAGGAATTCAGGACACCTGGGTTCTATTCCTGGCTCGGCCACTGGATGACCTTGGGCCAGTCATTGCCCCAATCTGTGCCTCAGTTTCCCTACCCATCAGACAGGGATTATGACACTGACTTCCTTCGGAAACCCCCCTTTTGAAAAATCAGCCTTTCCCACCGGTCTGGTTTTTTGACCAGCGCTCGTTAACAAAGGGCCAGTAGCCAAGACTCAGGATTATGGAGCGGACACAGAGGTTGGCAGAGCCAGGAAAACTTGTCAAGGGCGGCTAGATCTGAGGATGAAAAGTGCTAGGTATTATTGTTAGGAGTCCATGACTGTCCCTAAGTTAACAGGCCCTGGCCCTTTAGCTCACCTTCCCTGCCAAACTTTTCCTGATTTAGGAGACTTGTTGTGTCCAAACCCTGTTTCACACACAGTTTCGATTGTTCCAAATTTTTCTATAAAAAACATTTTGTCAAAAAAATTCCCATCTCACTACATTTTCCTGTGCTCACCCTCCCAGCCCCCCGTGAGGTAAGGAAGTGCTGTTCTCTCCACTGTACAGTTGGGGAAATCGAGGCACCAATCGTCCTGCTTCCCGCACACGCTCCGTGGTGGGTGGTGTGTTTTGAACCTCCCGCTGGTTTCTCCGCCCTCTGCAGAGCTGCGCCCAAGACCTCTTGGGGTATATCGCCAAGGAGTTTGGAGTTCTCCATCAGATCCTGCAGGAGAAGGAGCAGGGCATGAAAGAGACCGTGGAGAGGCTGAAGGAGGAGAACCGGGTGGAGATGGAGGAGAGGCTGAAGGAGCTGGATGAAGAAGTGACCTTTCGTAACGAGACCCTGTCCAGGGCCCGGGCGGGGCTGGACACCTCAGATCACATAGCCTTCCTCAGGGTGAGGCGGGATTTCATCTGCCAGAAGATGGGAACAAGACGGGGAGGTGCTGCATGACGGAGCTATGGGATGGGAGATTGTGTAATGGGGCTGGGAGCCAGGACTCCTGGGTTCTAT